AGTCAAGCCAGGTGACTACGGCCGATTTCTCACCTTAAGTCAGTTTCTACGACTGTGAAGTGGGGATAAGAACCCCATTGAGGGAACTTGTGCCTGGTGATGGCACCAGCGGCCCTGCCATGCCTGGCCTCTGTGTCCAGGTGTGATGGGTTGCTGCCCCTGAAGGCAGGTGCTCTGCCAGGCGTTGCCTCGTGCTGTGCGGCGCTGGGTGAGGCCTGCACCCTGCCTCGGTGTAGGAGGAGTCCCTCTCCAGTCCCAGGGCCCTGCGAGGTACTTGCTCCTTCACAAAACACAACCTTGAGCCCAGAGCCCCCACAGCCTTTTAGAAGGGGAAGCAGCAGAGCCTTCCTTTCCTCTCCTTGGCCTCTTCAGATCTCAGCTCCTCAGCCATCGGGGCCCAGTTGGGTGCTGAGGCCCCTTTAAGACACTGGCCCAAATGTGGACATAACCCTTGAGCACAGGTAAGAACAACTGGAATTATTGAAAAGAATGAAACCTAGATTTCTGAGTTCCGGGCCTGGCTGTGCTTGGGGCACCAACCCACTCAGTTCGCTAAGGGTGGAGGCAGGTCCCCATCACCAGGAAAGGTGGTACCTGCTCCTACTGATTGGGGTCCTCAGGAGTGACCCTGTATGAACATCTGTACTGTACAGAAAGCCTAGTCTTCGTATAAGAGGCCACTCTGCCCCAGGACTTTGCTATTTGACACCCTCTGGACGTAGATAAGTCAAGATTAGATGTTCGGTCCCGAAGTGCTGACAGGGACAGAGATGTAGAGTTGTTGGTGGAAGCGTCAGGCCCCAGTTGTCATAAACTTGCCTCTCGGCTGACAAGCTGGTCCCCCCAGCAGGGGTGTGCCATGGGGGAAGGGGGCACTGGGTGGGTGGGGGAGCAGGTGCAAAGCTGTCTGCTGCCGTGGCCACCCTCACCGTGCACAAACTCGATGCCACAGCCCTGAGAAACATTCCCTGCTGTCATCATTGTTTTTAATAAAGGTTGAGTCAACAGCCCAAGTCGCACAACTCTTACGTGGCAAAACCAGGATTTAGTTTGTGCACCTTGGAGTCCCAAAGTTTCTAGTACGATCGCAATTTTTAAAAAGCGTGTCTGGAGTCTGCTGGGAATGACGGTTTCATGTCCCCACCTGGCGAGCTGCTGGGCTTTATTATAACAAAGGCCCCCGCTTCCTCGAGGGGATGTCGAGGAAAGAGCTCCATCAAAAACATGTCGGCAGAGGAAACCGGTAGCTTTAGTGTATTTAGATTCTTCAAAGGTCTTTGGCAAAGTTCCACACCAAAAAATTTTTCCATACTTAGAAAAAACTTAACTTTGCAGGGAATGCTTTGTCGTGCGCGGGAGCCTGTTTAGGGAAAGAAAGATCGTCCTAAGGCTCAACAAGTACTTTTCTTGATGGAGAATTGTAAACAGCAGGGTCTCACAGGGATTGATGCTGGATGGGTCTTAGCTCATATTTTTAATTAAAGATCTGGAAGAGGAAGTATATGGTGAAAATTCCAAGTCTACGAGGACTTTTGGGAAATGAGAAGCCAAATGAATGGAATGTGTATGTTTTTTGCTTTGGTTCCCAAATCGTGGCTAAGGATGAGCATTTTGTTAGCCACAGGGACCTGCAAGTGGTTTCAGCTACTCAACACGTATCTGTTGTGTGTCCACAGTGTGCCAGGCATGGTACTGGGCACAAGCATGTTATTTGGTATCATTCTGCTTTACAAAAGTGGGACGATACGGTTCTAACATGTTTGTCTGACTTTCCGATGTTTTGTAGACTCACTATGCAAAGAACGACTTCGTTCTTATGCACGTCTGCGTGGAGGCATTTCCCCATGAAATGACTGCACAATAATCAGTTCCCTCTTGTTGGACATTTCTGTTATTTCTGGATTACAACTAATATAACACTGTAGGCTTAAATATCCTTGTACTCAGATATTTGCACATATGGACAGGTGTTTCTGAGGACAGTCACCCAGAAATGACTGGGTCAGAGAACATATGCATTTAACTCTCAGGTAGATGTTGGTGAATTGCCTGCAAAAAACCCAACTTCAATTTTAGTTACCCCAAAGCATCTGGTGATGCTCATTTCTTCAGACCAACATTGGATATTATATCAGTTTCCTATTGATGCTGTAACAAATTACCACAAATTTAGTGGATTAAAACCACACAAATTTATCATCTCCCAGTTCCGGAGGTCAGAGGTCTGACATGAGGCTCGGTGGGCTAAAATCAAAGTGTGGGCAGAGCTGTGCTCCTTTCTGCAGGCTCTAGGCGAGATTCTGTTCCTTGGCCCGAGGCCCCCTTCTGTCCTCCAAGCCAAGGGCCAGTGGAGTCTCCACCACATCTCACGTGGCCTCACTCGAGACTGACTCTTCTCCTCCCTTTTCCATTTTTAAAGTCCCTCGTGCTTACAAGGCGCACCTGGATAAGCCAAGCTACTCTCCCTGCTTCAGGTCAGCTGATTAGCAAGCTTAGTTCCATCTGCGACTTGCTTTCTCCCCTTGCTGTGTAACGGCTTACCCACAGGTGCCTGGGGATAGGATGTGGGCATCTTTAGAGGGGCATTACTCTGCCCGCCACAGAGATGATCAACCTTTTTAACCTTTTCCATTCTAAGTGAACAAATGGTATTCTGCTCTTTTAAGCTGCATTTTCTTGATCATTTGTGAAATTGAATGTCTTTTTCTGAGTAGGCAAAGAAATTCTGTGGTTTTAAGTTGTCTGTTCAGACCTTGTGTCTGCCTTCCTGGGCTGCCTGTGATTCTGTGCCCAGCGGCCCTTCCTCCCTCCCGAATTCCAGCCCTCCCACTCCATTTTCTCGCTATTCTGCTTTGGAAGAAATGTCAGGAGGCTTCCGGCTGAGCTGCGCAGTCGCGGGCGTGGCGGGCTGAGACAAGGAGCGCCTTGTGACTTGCTCCAGCCCGGCGGCCTTCTCTTGCCATACGGGCTCCAGTTCTGACTCAGCCCCGTCATTGCACTCGGGCAGCCGGTCCACCCCACTCAGAGCCTCGGTTTTCTCATCCATAAAAACAGCAATGGTGTCATACCTGACATTTGAGGGTTGCTGAGAAAGTAACAGGAACAAAAGCTTCCACAGCTCCATTTGCGAGGGAGCGTCCTGGCTGTGAGCCACCAGCACCTGTGGGTGATCAGAGCAGTGGCAGAGTGGGGAGAGGGAACCCGGCAGCCGCCAGGCTGAGCTGGGTGGGGCTCTGGGGAGATGCGTAGAAGAGTAACATTAGGTTATTTCCTAGGGTATCAGACAATGGGACCTCCTTTGACACTTTTTGAGAAATTACAGTAAAGAGTTAAAGTGCTTTTCAATTATTCTGGCAGTCAGACTTTGCCTCTTCTGAAGCCCCTGTAGAGCACAGAGCGCCGTGTCCGGCGATGACTCACACACCAGGAAGCAGGGACGCCTTCGCCCTGGCCTCCTCCCATCGTCCTCCAGGGGGCTGTGGGAAGATGGTGTCTGATGGCACTGAGGGTCTTCCTAATGGGTCCTCCACTTGGTGAGCAGAGCACGACCCATGCTCTGGGGTGTGCCAGGTTACGGGGTGGCACCAGGGCTGGGGGTGCAACCGTGCTGTGCAGAGGCCAAGCCTGCAGCTGCCCTGAACCAAACACCAGTGCTGGCCAGAGGACACCCAGACCTGGACGCCAGCTACTTCCCGGTAATGTAGGTCACCTGGCTGGGGCCTCTCTGCTTCCAGCCCGCACAGGTGCTCTGAGCCTAGGCCTCGTTGGACCCTGTTCTCAGTCTTCCCTGTCTACACTGTCAGGCCTGTGGCTTCAGTTCACAGAGCAGAGGCAGGGACAGCGCTGGCCACTGAGGTCCAGGCCTGCCCACCCAGGCTTTTTTGGGTCGGGCTGCACACCTGCTTTCAGGATGGTGGATGCCCTGGGTCAGAGGGAGAAAGCAGGTCCTTCCCCTTCTGGAAGGTTTGCTGGGGCCTCTTTCTCACCTCTGGCTGCCACATCCAGAAGCCCTGAGCCCCTCGGCTCAAGGGCTAGGGTTGGAGAGTCCCTTTACCCTGAGCTATCACATTCTCTTGGGGAACCCCTTGGCCTCTGTGAGATGCCATTTCCGGCTGACAGCACAAAGAGGGCAGCTCCTACCTGCTGCCTGCCGGGAGGAGCAACCGAGTGAGACACAGACGCCAAGTCTGGCGTGGTGCTGGCACACAAAGGGGGCGATTGATGGCTGTCTTTGTCATGGCTTCCCCTCCTCTCCTGCCCTCCTTTCCCTGCTTGAAAGCAGCCGTTTCCCAGCCTGAGCCTGACAGCGCCTAGAGTGGAAGCAGCCCTGCCCCCACCAGTGACCGGTGACCCTGCAGGCCACATGCCCTCTGCCATGTCTCCCGCTCTGCGACTCGGCCTCGGGTGGGCAGAGTCTCTTCCCTCCCTCTCCCCTCCTCTCTAGCCTGGTCCAGGTGGCAGCCACAAGGGCGCATTCCAGCCACCCTCGTCTCATTTCAGAGCTGGCAGCAGCCTTTGCCTCTCAGCCAGGCCCCAGACCCAGGACCCTGAGGGGGGCTCCCTGTGGGGCAGGGCTGTGGGCTCTACAGCCCCTTCTGTCTTCACAGTCAGCAGAGCCCTGTGGGGCCTCCAGCCCTTCCTGTGCAGTCATGCGGCAGGCCCTCATTAGCACTTTTTATTAACTCCGTCTGCTCACACTGAAGACTGAGTCCCTGTGCTCCTGCCCCGGGTGTGGGTGGGGAAGGGCCGCGCACAGATGCCACGAATTGGTTGTGGGGTCCTGAGGCCCTGGGCCGCACGCACTGTGGAGGAGGCCCGCCCGGCCTGCAGGCGTCGGGGTGCTCAGGGGCCACTGACGTCCAAGTACTTTCCTGGTGATCCTGAGCGGGCCGTCAAGACCAGGGGCGGAGACGGCCTGGCCCTACCAGGGTGCTGGCTGCTGCTCTGCATCCCCCAGAACCATCCCTGAACCCCTGCACTGCATCCCCCGCCCTCCCCAGGAGTGCATCATTGACGAGGACTGTGGGCCCGGCAAGTACTGCCAGTTTGCCAGCTTCCAGTACACCTGCCAGCCCTGCCGGGCCCAGCAGACGGTGAGTATGCTCAGCGGCCCCCGGGTACAGCGTCGGGGTCATGGGGACCTGGGTGGGGCAGAAGGCCAGGGGCCCCAGGGGTCTCAGTTGGGCCTCCCGCAGTGATGGGGAGGGATCCCCAGAGAGCAGACTCCTGGAGTGAGCAGGAAGCCATCTGCAGACCTGAGGCCATGCTCACCCCACCCCTAGGTCTCTGGTCACTGCGTCTTCCTTGTGGGTGGCAGAGAAGGGGTAGAGGGGGGGAGGAGACCCTGCACCTGTCCCTTCCCTGGGGACGACCCATCCAGGTAGACAAACAGCAGTCCCCAAGGCAGGGAAAGTGCAGCCCACCCCTGGGGCTTTCTCCCAATGTGCCCAATAAGAGCAGGCAGGAGGGGGGCGCAGGAAGAGGCCAGACAGAGCGTCTCCCTCAAGGAGGTTTCACTGAGAAACATGAAGCCAGGGAAAAGGAGTTTCTCTCCACCCAACAGATGTGTTGGACAAAACCACATGGGCTCCCAGCTGTTTCTTAAGCTGCATAGAAAGACTCAGATACATAACTTCCCCCGAGTGCCATTTTTTCCAGCATTCTGACCCCCACATCTCACCAGCCACACTCCCACCTCCGCCCTCTTGACTTCCACTAGACGCCCCCCAGCCTTGGTCTCCTCTCTATGATGGGGGGCTGCAGGCTAGCCCACCTATAGCATCTTCAGGCTGGGCTGGGATGGGTTCCTGAGCACTGGGCTCTCATCTCTGCCCCCTGCTGTAGCTCTGCACCCGGGACAGCGAGTGCTGTGCAGACCAGCTGTGCGTCTGGGGTCACTGCACCAAAATGGCCAGCAGAGGCAGCAACGGGACCATCTGTGACAACCAGAGGGACTGCCAGCCTGGGCTGTGCTGTGCCTTCCAGAGAGGTGAGTGGGCTCCCCTTGGGTGCAGGAAAAGCCCTTCCCCAGCTCCACCAGACTGGGCCTCCTGGGCCATGTCCATGCCAACCACACGGGCGTGGGCTCCTGCCTCCAGGGCAGCTCCCAGCACCCACGCAGCACGTGCCCCACCATCCTGCTGCTGCCTCGGGAACCTTCCTGAAGGGTGGCTTTTCATTGCTTCCTTTGGGGCCTGCAGCAGCTCCTGTTGTCTCCCACTTTGTTCAGACCCCTCTGTCCGACTCACAAGGCCTCATCCAGCTCCAATTTACATGTCTTTCCTCTCCACTGCGCCTCGGCCCATCTGGGAATCTCACTGGCCCCAACTTTCCCCACCAAGCCCACCCCAGGCGCTTGTCGGGGCTGTGCCCAGGCTTGAGTGCCTTTGCTCCGCTCTTCACTTCTCCAGACTTCCTGGCCCTCAAAACCCGGCAGAAGCCCACCTCTGCCAGCCAGTCCTCCCTGCTTCAGCTCTCCCGGGCCGTTCGCTCCTGTGCCGAGGCTGCCATTCCTGTTTCTTCTCATTCCACATCTTCAAACTTAACTACACCTTGGGGTGGGAGGGGGGAGGCTACACCCCAGTTCTCTGCTCCCTCCCCTTGGTGCCCTCCTGCCTGGAGCTGGCACACAGGGGTGACTTTGGGCTGGTTGCAGGCCTGCTGTTCCCTGTGTGCACACCCCTGCCCGTGGAGGGTGAGCTCTGCCACGACCCCGCCAGCCGGCTCCTGGACCTTATCACCTGGGAACTGGAGCCTGATGGAGCTTTGGACCGATGCCCGTGTGCCAGTGGCCTCCTCTGCCAGCCCCACAGGTGAGCGCTCCCCTTTCTTCCCTGTTGGGGCCAAGGGCAGATGAGGTGCCATCTGTGGGGCCCCAGGAGCAAGCTTTGCCTGGGGGAGATGTATTAATATTATAGACTCCATTGAGGGTTGGTTTAACTTGAAAAGTCCTTGGGTCATGCATGTGGAGGGTCCAGTCAGCGTCAGCTCTGTAGGTCGCAGCTCATCTAGGTGCGGTGAAGCTTCAGGAGCGGATGGCCCAGGACTCCCCGTGTGGCCATGCCCCACTGTGGGCTGCCCCCTGTCTGGGCCCAGATGGGCGGGGGCTGGTGGGGGCATCGTGTTGCTGTAGGGGCCACAGAAGCCAGACCTGCAGCTCGGGGCCGAGGCGCACATTCGCCTGAGGTAGACGCTGTCAGGAAGCGATGTGAGAGGAGGAGGTGAGGAGCCCGCAGGGACAGCGGCCGAAGCCACAGCGCGCCCCAGGCTGCCATGTTCACAGCGCGCTCTGCCGTCTCTGCCAGCCACAGCCTGGTGTACGTGTGCATGCCGGCCTTTGTCGGGAGCCACGGCCAAGATGGGGACAGCCTGCTGCCCAGGGACGCCCCCGATGAGTACGGAGATGACGGCTTCATGGAGGAGGTGCGCCAGGAGCTGGAGACCCTGGAGAGGAGCCTGGCCGAGGAGATGGCGCTCGGGGAGCCTGCCGCCACCGAGCTGCTGGCAGGGGGAGAGATTTAGGTCCGGACCCGGGCCGCGGGTAGATGTGCAATAGAAGTAGCTAATTTATTTCCCCAGGGGTGCCCTCTAGGTGTGGACTGACCAGGATTTTGTCTGCGTCCTCTTCCCAGTAAATTTTCCCTCTGGCTTGACTAAAGGAGGTGCTGTGCGTTTGTCCAGCTCCCCAGACTGTTCTCCAGGTGTCACGGCTCGGGTGCTTGGGCGGGGTGAGGGCAGGACTGGCTGCTGGACCTGGTCCCGATCACTGGCCGCTTTGCCCCGACCGGGTGGCAGACGGCACATTTTGTCCTGCATCGCTTTGAGAATTGTTTAAGAGCAGGGGACGGAAGCACGTGGCGTCTCCTCATGATGGGTTTGGGCAAGTGTGGAGAAGAGTGCCCTGCTTTGCTAACATCAACCTGGCAAAAATGCAACAAATGAATTTTTCACGCCATTCTTTCCATGGGCTGCCGTCAGCTGTTGCCGATGAAATGTTCTGCTCGCTCCACATTACATGCATTCATACGTTCTGCAGTTTACTCAGCTCCTACCTCTGTGCCTGGGCGTTTTCATATGTACCATCGATTCATTCTTGCCTGGGGAGGGGGCCATTGTTCTCCTCGTCCATCGGGGATCTCAGGGGCTCAGAGACAGCAAGCTGCTTGCCCAAGTCACACAGCAAGTGAAGACCAGAGCCCATTTCCCCCAGGTGTGACTCCAAGCTCAATGCTGTCCTCCCTACCACCTCACCCTAGCCTCAGTGCCACCAAAAGTACCCCCCTAAAAATGGAGGAGAATGGGATTTCTCTTGTTTTGAGGCACATCTGGAATTAAGGTCAAACTATTAATAGTTCCCACATCCTTCTAAGATTAAACTTCTACTGTTAGAAACAGCGGTGTTCTCACTGGTGTGGGGCGGCTGTCATTCCAGTGGAGACAAATGGTGTGGACACTGTCCCCCTTTCGCAGTTGCATTAGTAACTTTGAAGGTACATGGTTGGAGCACAGGATATAAGTTAACTTGCAGAAGCAGCACTTAGGTAACTGCAGGGCCAGGATTATACATGAAATTTGCAAAATCACTTAGCAGCAACTGAAGACCGTTATTAACTACACGGAGAACATTAAACAAGACAGGCTCTATGAAATATGGTTGTAATATCCAAACTGAGAACAATGAACTGTATGCCATTCCACAAATGACATTTTCAGGTGCCATGGATTGTTTCCATCATGTATTCATCCAGAGTTATTAAATTTTAAAGTTGTACATGATTGTATTAGCATGCTTTCTTTGAGTTTTAAATTATGTATAAATGTTGTATTTAGAAATCAAGCATAAATCACTTCAAGTATTCTTCTGTAGTTCTTGGATTTCTTTTTTCCTTTTGACTTTGAATAAATATAAAATCCTCTCAGCCAGAAAAAGTAAAATAGAAATGACCTGTATTGTAACAACAACAAAGAGATTTCTTCCACAGAAGTAAATTTCCCAGACAACTGAATCACATCCCTCTTAGTATCAAAATATTTTAAATATCGTAACCATTTTTGGACAGGAAGTAGTCTTAAGAGTGTAAATGCTTCACTGTCTTCTGAAAGAACAAAAATAATATATGTGACCCTTTTCTTGGGAGCCTTCTTTAACCAAATGCAGTTCTGGGCTCTAGCACGATAACATCTTCAAAGACTACAACAACAAAGCTACTATATACTGGGTGGCAGGCACCAGATTAGGCAGCCTACCTATATTAACTCATTCACTCTGCATTGAATTCCATGAGTATTTTCTTCATTTAACAGATGAAGAAATGGAGGGGCTAAAAAGATGAAGCGATAGAGCTGGGAGTCAGACAAAAACAGGGTCTAGTACAGTAGGCCCAGCAGCTAGTAAAAAAAAACACTGATTATTTTAAGATCAAATAGGGAGCTGTTTTCTAGTCAATGTCAAAACCATCAGGACCACTCTACAGCTTTACTTGTTATTCAGCAGATAGTACTGAGAGTCTGCACGGAACCAGGTGCTGTGATACGCTCTGGGGGTGCCAAGTTGACCCAGACAGGGTCCTACCCTGAAGGCATCACAGCCTAAGGATGGAGATACAGCTAAACTGAGACAAAATTAGTTTTCTGGGCTTTCTGGGTCACGGGAGGCGGGGGGGATGCCATATAGGGGAAACTGCAAGTAATTTGCAGCAGCTGGAAGGCAAGGCAAGCTTGAGGAAGTGTTTGAAGAGGCTGAAAATTATTTCGTCCATCAAAGAATGATTGAATTTCGACATATGAATTTTGGGAAAAGGAAAAAAAAAAGTAAAAAAAAAAAAGAATGATTGAAAACATTGTAGTGAATGAGATATAACTAGGTCCCCCCCTTATGTAGCTCGAATGCAGGTATGTTATCCTCCTCTACTTTGTCGTCACCGCCATAAGAACATAAGAACATGAGAGGCTTTGCAAAATACTTAGCTGAAGTCCACCTCTGGAGTAGCCGGGGTATCTCCTTCACTCACAGTCCTAAATGGAATGTTGGGCGGGTTGGGTGGAGGTGGTACCTGAGTCTGTCACCGCTGCTCTCCCCCAGATCCAGGGCTCCTGCCAAGAAGCCGTGGCAGACCCCGTCAGTTGAGCCACTCAACACCTGTTCCCAGCCCCCCAGCAGCCAGGATGGCCACGTGACCTCGTTCTGGCAGAGGAAATGTAAGGGGAAAGCTGCCAAACTGGCAGAGTTCCTGGGAAGGTTTTTTTACCTGACAAAAGGAAAGTGGCAAACGAGAAGAGAGTCTCTGGCCTCACCCCTTTCCCTTGCCTCCTGACTCTGAGTGCAGTGCGTAGGACACGGCATCGGGCTCCGGGGCAGCCATGTCCTGCATTCCTCAGGGGGCTCGAGGCGAATCCATTTCCTTGCCTTCTTTAGCCCCTAGAGGTTGCTTGCAGTCCTTGGCTCATGGCTCCCTTCGTCTTCAAGGCCCACATAACAGCTCCGTCCCTATCAGTGCCAGCTCTCTGGCTCTCTGCAGCTGGGAAAGGTTCTCCACTTCTAAGGACTCGTGATTAAATTGGGCTCATCTGGACAATCCAGAATAATCTTCCCATGTCAAGGTCCTTAACCTTAAATCATATCTGCAAAGTCTCTTTTGCCATGTAAGGTAAATATTCACCGGACCCAGGGTTTAGGACGTGGACCTGCCACAGGAGAGTTCAAGTCCGAATCCTTGATGTTGAGGAGGAAATCCATCCGGTTTTCCACCATCTCTGGACACCTTTTTAAGTAAACCACTGATGTTATAGATAAAGCTGCTGTTAGCCTGTTATTTGAAGCCAAAAGCATTTCTGATACAGGAGCTATTTACACGATGACTAATAGCCTGAAGAACAAAGCCCCACCAGCCTGGTTCGCTGGCCTGTCACGGCTGGGAGAAAGGGAGGCAGGGCAGAGGACAGAGTTGAAGAGAGAAGTGAGAGACTTGCCGAGGTGCGAGGGAAAGAGGGCAGGGTGAGATGAGGGGCATCAAGTATTACTGTGGTCTGTGCAGCCCCTCCAGATAGTCAAGAAACGCAACTTGGTTATTCTGAGATCACTTTTTGACAGCCAGGCTGTGCTTCTAAACTCAGGGCCAGCAGCTGTGGAGCTGGGCGGCACGCAGGCTCGCTGAGCGGCCCGGCCAGCAGCAGCAGCACTACAATTGCCCTCCACGAAGATTAGAGAGCAGGTATGAAATCCCCATGTGGAAGATCGCGGTGTTTGGACAATAGATTTCTCCCTTCCCTGACTTCCCATGAGAATGGGGAGATAAGACTTATTCCCTTGGCTGAAACCTATAAGGGGAACTTTAAGAGAAACACTCATGAAATTTCCATGGGGGCTATTGACAGCTCAAGGGGGCGTGGCTGTCCAGCACATGCCAACTTGACACCCGTTTACCACAGGGAGGAGCATCAAACAAGCTCTGCTAGTTGGGGCAGCCTGGCAGAGGGGAAAGGACCACACTTTTGCATCCCCAGTGGTTCCCGAGAGGCAAAGAAGATGGATTTTGACAGCACTCACATCCCCAGAGACAGGGCCATGAAAAAAGATGAAATTAAGACTTGGTGGGGACCAGCACAGCAGGGGATGGTGGTACACACTTCAAAGGAATGTCCTGCCAGCGGGAGGTTGGCAAAAGATGTAGTCAAGTTTCCTAAGGGACCACCAATGCTGTTTGGAGTTGAGTCCTTTGCTGATAGAACTTGCAGGGCATCTACCTTCAAGTCTAGACAAGCATTAACAGTGACCAGAAAGGGGACAGTCACCTGTCCCATCAAGAGGCTGCTCATGTCAGTGCATGTCTTTCTCCCTCTTTCTTACCTTTTTTTTTTTTCAGCATATTATAGGGGTACAGATGTTTAGGTTATGTATGTTGCCTTTGCCCCCCCTCCCCCCTAAGTCCGAGTTTCAAATATGTCCATCCTTCGGGTGGTGCGCATTGCACTCTTTGTGTATGCATATACCCATCCCTTCCTCCCTCCTCCCCCCTGCCCAACATCCAATAGATGTTAGTCTTATACGTGCACTTATGTGTTGATCAGTCAATATCAATTCCATGGTGAGTACATGTGGTGCTTGTCTTTCCATTCTTGGGATACCTCACTTAGTAGAATGCGTTCCAGCTCTATCCAGGAGTATACAAGACGTGCTGAATAGTACTCCATGGTATACATATACCACATTTTATTAATCCACTCATGTATTGATGGACACTTGGGTTGTTTCCACATCTTTGCAATTGTGAATTGTGCTGCTATAAACATTCGGGTGCAGGTGTCTTTCTTATACAGTATCATTTGTTCTTTTGGGTAGATGCCCAGTAATGGGATTGCTGGGTCGAATGTACTTCTACTTGTATCTCTTTAAGGTATCTCCATATTGCTTTCCACAGAGGTTGCACTAGTTTGCAGTCCCACCAGCAGTGTATGAGTGTTCCTATCTCTCTGCATCCACGCCAACATTTATTGTTTTGGGACTTTTTGATAAAGGCCAGTCTCACTGGAGATAAGTGATATCTCATTGTAGTTTTGATTTGCATTTCCCTGATGATTAGAGATGTTGAGCATTTTTTCATGTTTTTTGGCCATTATTCTGTCTTCCTTACCTCTTGCAGTCAGTAGAGCTGGTGCAGAACAGGACTAACCACACACACCCTCCTTTCTGTTCCCAGCAGGGGGCAGCACATTTAGTGGGCACAGTGTGTTGGGGGGAGATTGGAATGAATGACTAAAACTTTAAGATCAGATTTTCTTAATAATGCAAAGTGACTTAAAGTTATAGGATTGCAAGAAGAACTTGGTGAGAGCCTACTTCCCAGCAGGAAACTGCATTTGACAGAACACATTTGGCATAGTTATTCTCGCTAAGTTGATTACTCTCTAAGTGGGCCACGTAAGCATTTTAAGAGGTTAAAAACAGTGTGCTCTCTGTTGGAGGTGTGTGGGGGACAGCAGGTGGGGAGCACAAAAAGCAGAAGGAAGCAGAGCTTGGTCCCTACCTTTAAGGCAAAGTTATAAGCTCTACTAAAAATCCAGGACCTGGTGAATCCTCAGACTCTAACCAATCAACTTCTCTTGCGCAGAAGAGCTGGTGAGGGCCGTGAAGAGGTGGCGCTGTCACTGGGAAGGGGCAGAGCACTGTTCCCGACACTTCTGTGCCCTCCTAGGTTGACCCCACTGCTGGCTGCACTCCTTTCCAAATGGTACTCTGTGCTTCAGTGCGTTCTTGACTTTGTTTAACATTATTCTTGATGTTTCTGGAAGCCAAGTGTTGAAAATTAACACTGTCTAATCACATGATCGTAGACTCCACGTACTATACTTTAGACTACAATTTCCAAGTCTCAAGTGCAAGAGTTGGTTACGGCCTTGATGCTGAACAAAAAAACAAAATCCAGAGGGAGAACTACAGTATCTAATTGAAAAGGAAATACTAGCGAATGAACCAGAATAAAGGATTTTATTGTATTCCATACATTCACAGGTCACTTCCAGATTTAGTAACAACACTGCAATGCTATGATGCTGTGCACTCATTTAGCTCAGACCACAGGGTAAGTTTGTAGTTCTCTCCTGCTCTCTCGGACTATAGATGGACCACAATACCTTTCCCAACTGTGGCCTGGAAACTGCCTGCTATTTATTTCGTTTATTTTCTGACTGAGGCAAAGGTTCACCCCATCTTCTCAGAATTTTAAAGTACTTTCGATTCCATTACAAAAAAGATCACCAACATTCTAGGGCCCCTTCACACACTACTTTTACCTATCGTGACTATTCTTCCTTACATATACGTCCTTAGTTTGAGAAGTGGATTTTCAATTAGCAAATTTCTGTACAGACCAGTTGAGCACGGCATGGTCCTGAAACCACAGCTTTGGTTTCTTTGGCCAGAATGCACCCCTTGCCTTAAGCGCCTGCCTCAGGAATGCAGGTACTTGGTTCTCATGGGGTGTGAGTGATTGATACAACCTCCTGTCCCACATGAAAGCTCTTCAAAACCTTTGCATGCCCTGTGGGGAGCAGGGACACAATTTATTGCATGTGGCCTGCCTCAGCCTCAGGAGATAGGCAATCACCAGGCTCCACTGCCCCTGGGCTCAGGGCACTTGATCCCCATTTGTCATACTCAATGTGTTGGGCTATAGATGCTCACTTGATTCTCTGAAGCTCGGGGAGGCTGATACATCTTAGCCTTTACTGAAATTATTAAAGTGAAACCTTGTTTTCACTCTATCAGGCACTGAAAAGCAAGAAGCTTTTATTTTTTCTTCTCTATAATGAAATATATTTTCTCTACTCTTGGTATCTGTAATATGCCTGCAATTAGATGTAGCAGTTAACACAAAACAAACAAACAAAAACAGAGCAAAAGGCACAGACTAAGGAGCAGGTATGAGAAGAATTTTACCATTTACTCTAGGAATACTAAACCAAACCAAACAAACCAAAACACGCTTCAAAGCCCATTTCGTTTGCAAGTCGGCCTCCTCTCTGCTATAGGAAGTCAGTCCTTGAAAGCAGAAACCCTAATGTTCCCTGTATCCCAAGTCAGCAGGCCTGTATCAGAACCAAATAGCTGTCCTCTTACATCAGAAAATCTAAGTGATCTGAAAGACAATTCATCACAAATGGTTCAAATTTTCTTCTCAGAACATCACCAATCCCACTAATGCAAACTCACAACATTACTTCAATCAAATTTAGCTGAATGCTACAGTTTACATGGAATAAAAATTAGCCAGAAAAATACCTTAGAAAAGACTTTTTTTCCTTGTGGAATCCAAGAGACTTTTAAGACATTATGAATTCTCAATAATTACATATATTCAAACGCAGAGTCAACATCTGCTAACACTATTTTCTAATTTTATCTTTCTTAAAAGGAAAAAAGGGTAAAAATCTGATTTTGAAATATTGACAAGATCCCCCAAAGTTAGATATTAACATCTTTTCATCTCTTATGAGAATTTACTGTAAATATACCTTTATCATAGAAATATTCAATATACATGTTACAAAACGTTATATTTAAAGATGACCAAATCTATTCTTTACGCACATTCTTCATCCACAAGTTTAATGACTAAAATAACACAACAGAATGAACAAATGTTTTATTGGCATGTTCATTGTTGTAAACAGCATCTGGCATGAAAAAGTTTTACCAAAACCTTTTTATTGATTTTTATAAATTAGATGGTATTTCAAAATTTATGTAGAGTTGTGTTCATTGAGTACTTTTATTTAGCAAAGCAAAAACTTGCTGATTCTAAATAGACTTTGCAATGAAATCATGTTGACTGCATCAGTCTGTACCATGACCTGACCTTACTAGCAAGTTTATTCAGTAAGATGTTAAGACGTTTCCCCAAAGGTAAACTACATGTAACTACAAATTGACTCTAAAAATTAAAATTGGACTTACAAGCATTCTAGAAGATTCAAATTGAAGTAAATCTTCAAAAATAAATGTATAAAGAGAAAAATAATTTGAAGCTGCTGAACAGAAAAACCTCATCAACAAGAGCAAATACAATCCTATGGGACCCAGCACTGAGGAACCTCACTAAGGATTACATTTACATAGGTTGTTATACTTCTCAATGTACACAAATGTACATAATGAATATGTGAAAAGAATAATCATGGGAAATAGTTGAACTGCAATTATGATAACTCAACAGGATCAATTTTATTTACATGCTGAATAAACGAGTGAAACATATTCTCTACATCCACAACTTAAGTACAATCAGTTATAATTACAATACTGCAGCAATCTGAGCTGCCACCTGCGGGAAGTGGTCTAAGGGAAACTTCTGATGTTCCAGAATAATGTTCTTAATACTTTGCAAAAAATGAAACAAAATAAAAAGACAATTTCACAATTCTTTACTGGGTTACGGCTGGTTCTAAGAATTTCTTTCTTCAGCTCCTATTTTTGCTGCTTTCCAAGAGTCAACATATGTTGCATTTACTTCTGAATTGTCAATGAGGTAATGTGTGTATCAGTGAAATAAACAGAAAATTCATTCATTCATGGCCTTTGCACAGCTTTTATTATTAAGCTATGAGCATCCTGTTTGAAAGCTAGTTTTACTAGCAGCTATGTGCACATTTGTCCGCAATAAAAGAAGTTTACTCATTCCCCTTCCCCCTTTTCTAGTAGCAGGTTTTGCTTTTTGTTTTTTTATTTCTTTGCACATCCCTTTTCACTTTACAGTACATTTGACTATAGTGCACAACATGATTCCAAGTCAAAACAGTGGCCCACTGGGCACTGAGCTTCTGATTGGTGAAGGGCAGTCCAATCAGTGCTGGTGTCACTGGGTTACCCCAACCATGTCCCGCCATAATGGCACTACCCCGTAGTAGTGAACCATCTAATTAAAACCAAAACTCCCCCAGGGAAAATGCTACACTAGCAGAGTCAGTCTTGAGTCAGATCTTTATTTGGTGCTCCATCCAGGTATATTTTTAGTGCTTTCTCTTTACGAGGTGAGTATGTTACACGATGTCCAGTCTTCTGGAGTCGACTACTTTCTTTTTTCATCAGTTCGTTTCTTTGCTCATCTGTCAACTCCATTAATTCTTCTGTTTTATCCCTATATTTAAAATATTAATGAAACATCAGACCAGTAGAGCCATCTGCCTCTATTAATTTACATTTGAATGCTATGATGCTCCTCAGCAAGATAATGTAATCTGATTGTCACTGGTGAAGTTATATAATCTCATATACTAGGATGCCCTATATTTCTAATGTGTTTATCATATTAACACATCGTTCTCTTGTAAAAATGACATAGAATAATTTCCATGTTACTAGTAGTAGTAATAATAGCTATAATCTATTGAACATCTATTGATAAAAGGCATCGTGCCAGTTGTTTTAAATGCAATAGCTCTAATTCTTATAAAATCCTGCAAGATAGACATTATTGTCGCCATTTTATAGATGAGGACCTAGGTAAATAACAAAGCTATATTTGAACCCACATCTTTTAGGATCCAATGACTATTCTTTTTCCTCTATATTTGTGCTGTCCAACACCAAAGCCACTAGCACATGAAATACGCCTGGTCCACACTGAGATGTGCTGGAAACATAACATGCAATGTTTTTCTAAGACTTGGTACAAGAAAAAGAAGTTAAATATTTCATAAATGATTTTTTTTTGTATCGCTAATATGTAATGATAATATTTTAGATGTACTGGATATAAAAATTTGTTTAAATGAATTTCACCTGTTTCTTTTTACTGTTTTTAGTGTGGCTACTAGAAAACTTCAAATCATAATGTCTGGATCTCATTGTATTTCCATTGGTTAATGCTCCTCTATTATATCATAATAATAGTAAACACATTTACATAAAGTATTTATACATACCAAAAATGTTTTACCAGTAAAAGCAACAAAAACATCGTGAATGTTACCTATAAAATATGACGGCACCATCATCACAGATATAAAGAGGCCAAACATTCAGGGTAGAAACTTTAGGATTCCAGTCCAAATCCTGATGAATATCGAGGACAGAAATATCACAGGGAAAAGTTCCTCTACCCTAAGAAGAAAAAGAATCAATGAATAAATCATGCCATTAGCCACATTTATCATACACTAATACACAGATGCAAACGTTCTCAGGGCTTTACCTTAGCAAATTCAATATCTTCCAAAGGAATCCCACTGATTTCACTAAGCTGTAAAAAAACACAAACAACATTTTATTAGAGTTCATTCAAAAAAATAAACTTGCTCAGAAGATTTATTTTACTCCAGAAACAGAAATAGCTTGATTTTAAAAAATATATGTCTGATATAAAAAATTAGAAGAAAATGCAGAAAGTGTAATTCTGTCCTCTGGCCACCCTGCAAATACCATGTCCAACAAATAAGAAGTTAGTGTATTCCTTCCAGACTTTTTCCTATGCATATACAAACTGCATTCATATATTTCTAAAACATGTAAGTTTTATTTATAAGCTATCTCTATATAATAATTTTATACAGCCTATATAGAAGAACAGGATACAGAGTAACCTCATTCTCTTCAATATCTCAACAATATACCATTTCATCTCCTATTGATGTACACTGAGACTGTTTTCAATTTTTCCCAGTTATAATGCTATGATGTACACCTCCATGGATATCCTTGCACGTTTCTGCAAATACTTCTATAGATCAAATTCCTAGATGCTGAACTGCACATCTGAAATGTTGATAAACAATGCCAAACTGAACCCTGAAAAAAATATCAATTTATATACTTATCACAGGTGTGTGATATTAACTGTTTCCCCCAAACCTTGACAACTCCAGGTATTTTTTGATTTTCTAAATCTTCACCAATTTAAGAGTAAAAATAGTGTTTTTGTTTTAATTTGTATTCCTTTTTCTATGAATTGCCTATTGTTTTTTGCCTATTTAAAAATAAGATTGTTACTTTTTTTTCTTATTAAGGTAGTAGCTCCTTATAAATTATGGACACCAAGCATAATCAATGTTTCAAATGATTTCCTGCCCAGTTTCTTGTGTTTTAGCTTTGTTTATGAGTTGTTTTTTAAATTCTCTTTTTTGGCTATTCAGAAGATTTAAGCTTTTATATGGTCTACTTTTTCTTTTTTTGGCTGCTGGTATTATGCTTACAAATATCTTCAGGATTATGAGAATATTTTTAATATTTAACATTTTAAATATTTTCATCTAGTACATTTACCATTTTATTTTCATATAAATTTAATACATTTAGAATTTATTTTTGTGTTAGGTGTGAAGTATGGAAATAAAACTTTTTCAAAATGCCCATTGTTCTAGTACCACTGATTGAAAAATTCACCCTTTCCCCAGAGATCCTTAGATTTCCTACCTTAAATACAAAATGCAAAATAGACCTTCATCTGGATTCTCTATTCAATTCCACTTCTTCTGGTTTTTTTAGACTTACAGCAATTCAGTAACTTCTAACTAATCCTAATGACTTACGACAAAGCTGATCTAAGTAACAGAAAATGAGGGTCCACTTCTGAATGGCCAGGAGCCAAAGTAAATTTTCAAAGCATCAGGAGCTAAGAAACAACCAGAGTGTGGCACAAGGTGTAACAGAGACCAAGAAAGAAAGGTTGCTGCATCAGTGTTTAGTACTCGCTTCCTAGGCTGTCTCTTACGGAATGTGAGGAAAAACGGGTATTAGCTCATTTTGTTTAAAATGAACTTACCCTCTCTCGCAATTCATCAACACTACTGCTTTCCAGCACAACCTCCTGGAAGGGATCCAACTTCATCTCTGAAGGCCTCCACCGTCTTGACAAAACTGCAAGCTGTGACATGGACTTCATCTTCTCTACCCCTAAGAATATGCAAGATTAGGCCATCATTCTATTTCCTCTACAGGTTCATAACTTGACTGTTCCATACTGCCTCACTAAACTAAAAGATTTACTTCAAGTGTTATTCTTAAAAAGTAGGCACAAAAAGCCCAATTATCCCAAGGAGTTTTTCTTTTTTGTTGTTTTTAAAATTTTTTTTTCACTACACATTGTGGATAGTCACCAAGGAGTATCTGAGAATGGAATATTTACTCTCTTCCCTCCAGTCTTAGAAGGTAATTTCTCCTTTTGCAAGCTACCCTCAACCAGTACTCCTGATTCCATGCAACCTGACTCCTGCTGGACACTGCTTTAATTACTCTCTTCTCTGGATCTCCAAGCTTTGCTTCTCCTTTGATTACTACCCCAATCTAAAATTATAATCAAACCATCTTCGCTTTATTGTCTTCTTTTACTCAGGCTATTGTTAATCCTTCTCTTTTCATTTACTCCCAAATTTACTGATTCTTCAAAATTGTCACTTTTCAAGTGTCAGCTCAATTGTCACTTTTCTCTCTGATGTACACAACAACAACTTCTAGTGATTCAGTCCCTCAGTACCTATCATTTCAGAATGACAGGCGTGCAGTTCTGTTTCTTCCACAGACTGTGTGGATCTGGAGGGCAATCAATGGTTTTCATTCAATTTTGTAGTACCAGGGATTAGCAGTTATCTGGCAAATTACAGGTCAATAAATGTTTCTTGGATTTAATCACATATTTCTTACTCAATTATTTTGATGCTAGAACACACTGAAATAATATTGATGCAGGTGTCAAACATCCAGGACCATTTGCAGACTAATCCATACCCAGCTAATACATACCCAGTACTTCCTCACAAGGGTGACATCTCTATCTTTCATGATCTCTTTCTGGCACACCCAGAAACAGTTATTATTTGCTAAGTCTCCAGACACTGAAGGAAATCACAATCTGGAGTACCTGCCTACACACCACAGTAGATAGTGTCCTGGTTGTTCCCTGCCTCCCCAGTTAACTTGTCAATTAATCAGAATTTCAACCATCTAATTTAAACCAAATTAGATGTGAAATAGCCCGAAACAGGTGAGGCGTTAGTGTTATTGAACCCTCTAAAAACTAGCATAATCTTACTTTAAAACATCCAGAATTGATATTTTAATTTCTATAGGAAAAAAAGGAAAATTAAAATTTTCCTAACACCAAAAAAGAATACAGCACTAGTTTTTTTACTTTGATGTGATCTCTTAAAAGCCAACTTTCCCCCACAGCTTCCTCCAAAAAAAAACAATACTCTACATGTACCACGACTGATAATGAAAACCAGGAAGTATAACAAATACCTCTGACAAATAGGCCTATTACTTGGACCTCTTCTAGATCATTGTTATGTGTTGAATTTTGTCCCCCTCCATGCCCCCCGCACCAAAAGACATGTTGAAGTCCTAATCCCTAGTACCTCAGAATGTGATCTTAACTTGGAAATAGGATCTTTACAGTGGTAATCAACTTAAAATGAGGTCATCAGGGTGGGCCCTAATCCAATATGACTAGTGGTTTATAAAGAGGGGAAATCTGGATAGTAACAGACAAGCCCCCAGGGAGAAGACCATATTAAGGTGAGAGCAGAGATTGGGGTGATGCATCTACAAGCCAAGGATTGTCAAAGATGGCAACAGACCACCAGAAGCCAGGAGAAGAGGCATGGAACAGATTCTTCCTTACAGCCCTCAGAAGGAACCAACTCTACCAATACCCTGATCTCAGACTTCTAGCCTCCAGAACTGAGAAAAGAAATTTCTAGTGTTTAAGTCACCCAGCCTAGGAAACTAACACAGACATTGTTCTCAAATCTCGGATAAATTATCGGTACCACAGCCTCAATACAAAATAAGACATAATGAAAAAAGAAACTAAATAACAAACATGGCTAAGAAAATATTATTAGGATTTCCTTAAAATGTACTAAAAATCTAACTTTGAAATTGTAATTTCCCTGTAAGGAAATATTCTCAAAATAGAGAAAAGAAGAAATATTTAAAAGGCAAATGAGGACTCAAGCTGTACAAAAGCAAATTATGTAACCAAACCTGTGTACCCCCATAAAATTCTGAAATAAAAAAAAGGGCAAATGAGACCCAGAGAAAGATTGGAGAAAGCTGAAATAATTTAAGCAGTTATAGTAGGACACAGGGGAAGAAAATAAAACTCCCAAGGATTAGACACGAGAAGGAATCACATCAATCCATAATATCAATATCTTTATGCTTAATATAACACAAAAATACTATAACATATATTAGATTCTTCATGACTCATTATTTGATTAAAAACTATATGCTTCTATTAGTTCTAGACTCTAGAATCTAGAGTATTTCTAATTTCAAGTATTTCCTCACAAAAATATTGAAAATACCATCAAGAACTTCAAGGAAAACCTCCCAGTTGCTGGAAATATTAATATCTTCTTCATAAATATGATAATCCAAAAAGACAGTGCCAGGATTCTTCCATGTTTTTTTCCTTAGACGAAACCTACAAATGTGATAAGACATTTAAAACTACTATAATTTGAAATTTTTAACTTAAAAAATTGACATTAATCTGACACCAAGGCAAATCAAACTATGTTCAAATATAAAAGTCCAATGGTTACTCATTAAAATTTGGAGAAAATGTAATGAAATGCTCCCAGTAATTCAAATGTAGAATTCTCCAGAGGAAATTCAAACAAACTTCCAATACTCTTGCTTAGTCCTATTAATTTAATCTGCAGTACTAAAATTCTGACTAGTATAGGAATTTTAATTCTTCTAGTTTTAGAAAACCATACTAGTCCATCTCAATTGACCACACAGTCTTTCTTCAAATTGTTGATGACACTGAAATTTTACTTTACCTGTCAATACTGAGTTCTAAACCACATTGCTCCCTGAGTTGAGGAATTAATTCCTCTTTTGATTGCCGTACAGTCATTCCTTTAGCAAACACAGCATCTAGCAGAAACTTGCATGGCTAGAAAAATAAACAAACAATTAGAACTTGGAATTACACATTAAAATAAGGACTACCAAAACATTTTATTTGCACTTTGTAGTGTGACAATTAAGGGGCTGGGTTTAGAAGTCTATCTTTCTTGTTTCAAATCTTAGCTCCACTACTTACTAGCTCAGCTATCTTGGGCAAGTTTACCTAACATCTGTGTGCCTGAGTTTTCTCATTTATAAACGAGAAACAGTATCTTCTTCATTGGGTCATTGTAAAGATTAAATAAGATAATGTATTCACATATTTCCCTCCTTGTAATAAAATAACCACAATTTTGAAAGTAAAAAGAATTTTAAGGACTAAAATGAGGGAAAAGCATTCTAATTCCCCAAATCCATTAATCAATCAATTGCTTCAACAGAGACATGGTATCCACAAACCCCAAACTCAGAAGAACATATAAGTCAAAATGACTGCATGGGTCACACGTAAGAGACATAATGGGTGCCAGATAAAATAAGTATCTGTTGTACAAAAAAGGGCATTCTATGAAAAATTTCCAGTTTTTACATTTGTCTAAGTCCCCAATAAAATGTTATAAACATCTTGAAAATATGATCTTTGTCTTATACTTTTGGGTATTCACAAGTCTTGCACACAACAGAAACTAAAATATTTTATTGATTACTCTTTAAAAAACACAGCCTGTTTAGATCATTAACCCACCATTTACAAGTTGTGTGACCCTGACCAGATACTTAACTTCTCTGTGCCTCAGTTTCTTCAACTATAGAATGGGAATAATATAATAAATAGTACTTACATCATAGAGCTCATTGATGAGGATTAAATGAGTTAATATTTACAAGCACTTAGAGTACACAATAAACACTATATAAATGCTTGTTAAATATTAAAATGACTCTCTGAACACAAAAAGTACTTATAGATTCTACAGGTCAACTACTACTCACATGTAGCATTACATGAAAACAGAAGGCAAGCACGGAAAAATCCCTTTTTAATAGCAGGAAAATTTTGCCTCACTTCAGCACTTGTAGCAACACGTTAAAGCAGGAGGATGAGAAACAATAGCCTGAGGGCCAAGTTCACGGCTGCTTGTTTTCATAAATAAAATTTTATTGGGACATAGTCATTCTCATTCCCATTGGTTTATTATTGTCTATGGCTGCTTGTGCTACAATGACAGAATTGAGTAATTGCAACAGAGAAACTATGGCTTGCAAAACTAAAACATTTCCTAGAAAAAATTTGCTGACCCCTGCTTCAGAGAAATAAAAGGAAATGACTAGTAATAAAATCTCTGCGTTGTATCTTTTTAGTACAACAAAAGTAACCTTACATTGCTTTGAAATGTATTACTTACCTCTTGTTCATTGACTAAAAGCTGGTACACTTTAACTCTGTATTCTCCTTTTTTAAGTGCTCTCCCCAGTCTAATTGTAATCTATAAATTAAAAACATTTTTTTAGATATGTTGTCTCAGTAAAATAAACAATCCATTCTCGCCCCATTGCTTAGTTTTGCTTTTCAGAATTCTTTAGATTATGGACTCTTTGAGACCAGGTATATCTTATACCTCTGAATCGCCAGCACCTGGAACAGTAACTGACACACAGTTAACATTTTACAAATGTTTGTTAGATGAACGAAGAAAAACAACAACTAAAAAACAACCCAAATAACCATAAAACATCAAGGGATCCTTTTAGGGTATCTACTTCACCTTACTTAGAAGCAGTACAAGATGTTCTCAAATCTATCATTTAAAACAGACTCTAATTATTCAAAGATTATTTGAATCAACCTTATTTTCATCTGAGAATGATGAAAGTGTCTCATTCAGTCGGACGCTCTCGAACTCTTGATTGCTGGCATACACTCGAAAGACCTTGAAGTGAGAGGACAAAACTCCAACAAAGGGCTCTAAATGTTGTTTGAAAGCTGCCAGAGTAATTCTTTTATCAACATGCACCATCAACCCTAAGCACAAAAAGAAAAACAAAACGAAACAGGAACAAAAATGTAAAACAACCTCTGAGTATAAATAAAACAGATCATATACTTTTTATTATACTGTAAGAAGTACCACCCCTTTCCAGTTAGATTTTTAGCTAATATACTATATTAAACAGACAAACACACACAGTTTATGACAGGTATAATCTGACAGCTTAAAATGTTTTGAGCTATTTTAAGTGCTTATTTTATTTATTTATTTAGGTCGCTGAATTTGAAATCAAACTTCCAGGAACTCTTTTAAAAATGCATACCTTTAGGTGGGATTCCAACCCTGCCTCCTCTGCGTACTTACTAGCTATGGGACATGGAGTAAGTCACCAGCCTCCAGACTTCCATTTCTTCATCAGAAAAATGGAGATAATAATAGAACCTAGCTCACAGTGTTGTGGAGTGAATTCAATGAGGTAATACATTTATCGTGCTTTTTGCACAGTGCCAGATTCACAGTAACTGTCTCAAAAACTATTAGTAATATTATCTAGTTCTAGGATTTTTACTAGAAAAAAATGTCAAGACTAGCATACTAAGATGTCTGTTTTACCATGTGCTTGGGCTGTAAAAGGAACTGTATCTAAATGAATCAGAAATTAGCACCTCCTCCAGCCTTAACTTTAAGCTCTCTTGGCATTGTAATAGGATTATCTTTGATAAGCTTAATTTTTTCCTAATGCTTATTATTTTAAACTTTTGTCCCTTATTCTATAAGCCACTCATGAGGATACTTCTGGAATGCTTCTATTTACCCTGTTCTTCATATTCTAGCATAAAGCAAAAACACAACTTAGTTAGTTGTTTCTTTCTCTTAGAATAAGGCAGTGCTACCATGTTGCCTCAGGGCCATGGTCCCTCTACAGCCCCAATCTGCTCCTATGGAAGGTCTTGTTTTTCTGTGAAATCTACAAAGGTAAAGAATGAGACCCTAAAACACTCCTGGTTTACATTGGTGGGTCATCCCAAGTCTTGGGTCGAATTTCTCTGAGTGGATTTTTCAAGTAAATTAATGTTCACTGACTGTTCACCTGGTTATAAAATATAGATAGGTTCATCACAGAAAATGTGACAAGTACTAATTAGAAGAAAATATAAAGAGGGCGAGAAACTTTGTTTACTCTCTATCTTTAATTTTTTTTTTTTTTTTTGAGACAGAGTCTCACTGTGTTGCCCAGGCTAGAGTGCCGTGGCGTCATCCTAGCTCACAGCAACCTCAAACTCCTGGGCTCAAGCAATCCTTCTGCCTCAGCCTCCCGAGTAGCTGGGACTACAGGCATGCACCACCATGCCCGGCTAATTTTTTCTATATATTTTTAGTTGTCCGATTAATTTCTTTCTATTTTTAGTAGAGACGGGGTCTCGCTCTTGCTCAGGCTGGTTTTGAATTCCTGAGCTCAAACAATCCGCCCGCCTCGGCCTCCCAGAGTGCTAGGATTACAGCTCACCACTGTGCCCGGCCTACCTTTAATTTTTTTAAAACACCAATTTCTAAGCTTTAAGGAGCACCCTTAAATGTTAATAATCCAACTTTTGGCAAAGAAGCCTCTATTTATGCTATCCAGCAAGGTACTAAATTTCTTGAGAGAAAGGTGTAATGGTGGCCAGGCATGGTGGCTCCTAGCACTTTGGGAAGCCAAGGCCAGAGGATCACTAGAGGCCAGAAATTAGAGACCAGCAGTTCAAGACCAGCCTGAGCAACATGGTGAGACACTGTCTCTGTAGTCCCAGCTACTCAGGAGGCTGAGGCAGGAGGACCACTTGAGCCCAGCAGTTTGAGGCTGCAGTGAGCTATGATCATACCACTGCACTCCAGCCTGGGCAACACAGAAATTAAAAGGTTATGGCTGGATTTCAGTTTTGCCATTTTAGTCTGATAAATGGCTGTAGTTAGGTCATCTTATCTCCCATAGGATCACAGTACCAATCTCACAGATTATCATTATGACAAATGTAGTAAATTCTAAAGCATTACTCAAATACAAGATATTATTGCCATTTTGGTTTCTTTCCTAACTTCTAGTAGTGTTGTATCACAGGAAGACACAAATGTTTGTTGATTATAATATGGTCTAATATGGTGATTAGGATAAAGGAGCTCTGGAATTAGATGGCCTGGCCTGAATGAATTCCTAGCTCTTCTTCGTATATTAGATTTGTGACTTTCACTTCTTAACCTCTCTGTATTTCAGTTACCTTTACTATAAAGTGAAAACAATGGTATTTATACCCCTATTGTGTTTTTGGGTCGACACATGTAAAATGCTTAGCATAGCCTTGGCAAAGAGTGTTAATTTACTGGCTATAATTATAGTTTTAGAGATCACCAGCATACCATTTTTTCCAATCTATCTCTTTAGACTGAAGAATCCAGTGTCTTCGCAGTACAACCTGAAAATATCTTTAGGGTTTGCCTTTTTCTTTCCTTTCTCTTATGTATTTTTTTAATGCAATGGTAACCAAAATTGTACAAAGAAATTTTAGTGCAAATGCATTATTATTATCTTTATTTAACCTGACTTTCCTGGGTTTATAGCCAAGTGCCTACAAACTACAACCAGGTCTTATCCCAAAAGTATCTTCAGAGAATGGTCTATAACTACTCTCTGAAACAACTCCTGCATTATAACTGATAGATAGCTTGAAGACTATCATTTTAAGTATTGTTGGATTATTCCTAATTGAACTGCCTATATTGCAAATAGTATGTTATTCTTCAGATATCAAATTCTTTGTTTACCTATCACACCTTGACATTTCATCAGTCTGAGGAACCTGTCTTACCACTTATCATCCACGTTTTCCCAGATACCTACTTTCAGATGACTGAGGAACTGCCATGAACTAGTCTTAGTACAGACTCCTGAAAAACCTGGTTGCTGGCTACCATTCCTGCTCCCCTATCTCTAAATATGAGAAGGCATTTTCCAGGGTCTTCATTTTTCTTTTCAAACAAGCCTTCTGTATGGCTTCTGAACGCCTAAATATGTAAGTTGTAGCAAATGGTTTCTCTTCATCACCATGTTTACTATTCCAATGAACACTAGTAAATCAGCCTAGTATGAATTTCCAAAAGGTTAAAATGGCCAACAATCTACTTTGTAAAGATTTTACCATTCTAAGATGGAAACGAGACTCTTCAAACTATAATTCTAAAGTATTCCCACTGAATTCTTCCTGAGATTGAGACTATCATCCAGTCAAATTTTTAGCACACCATTTTAAAACAAACCACTGAAAAGAAACTTCCAACCTTTTCCTGAAAAGGAGCTAGCTACTTTTAATTTTTCCAATGCCCTTGATTGGTTGAGCATGGGAAGAAAGCAGAGTAGCTCCTAAACATAATATTTTTCCTACTACAATGGAAGGGAAGTAAGGAGCAGTGGTAGCAGCTATGGGGCTATAATCAGAATAACTGAGTCTGATCCTAGCAGTGTGACCTACTAGCTGTGTGAAATCAGGCAAATTCCTTAGTCTGTCTGAGCCAGTTTCTTCATCAGTTAAAATTGTCTAACAATTTCACAGAGCTGTTAAGAGAACTAAACGGAATAATGCGAGTTAATGAGCCTTAGGACGTAAATGCTCCAAAGAAATTTAAAGCATTATTATAATATGATTTCTGTCTCCATTTTGGCCAGCCAATCCACATTTTCACACTTGAGTTTCTGCAAGATATACATAAGGATGTCATATAATTTCAGTGTTATTTGGATCTAACTAGTTAGAAACACAAATCTCTATACTTTTATTGCTGATTTCAAAATTTCTATTACTTCCTTTTAAAAAACAGAATTTTGAGACTACAAGCATCATAATACAACTTTTAGAGTGGCTGGTTGTGTACCTCCTCTCCATTAGATGAGGCATCAGGCTGCATCTTAGTCATCTTTTCTTCTAATAGCTACAATAGGCCTGGCATCTAGCATAAATTCAGGAAATATTAACTGGATGGGTGGACGAATAGATGAATAAAGGGTGGGGCTCTCCCCCAAAGGTAAAAGGAGCAAGTATCTTCAATTAGAAGCCTTAAATTCTAGTAATGGTCCCACTTACTGGCTATACACGTACTTTAAGGCAAGGCATTCATCCCCTATGAGCTTCAGTTTTCTTATCTGTCAAATGAGGATATCAATGTTTGCTTTATTAAGGTCAGAGAAGCTTTAAGTGAGAATAAGTGTCTTAAAAAGTAAAATACAAAAATATAAGGATGAAAATTAATATTTGCTTTGTTAAAGACTAATGCAAAACATTCAGATTTTTAGCTATTTCCCTTTTACACCTGAAGAAAGATTTTGTATCCTGAGAACTTGCTAATTCTTCAGTTGGGTTTAGTCTTGGGTTTTATAAAAGTTCTTTTATTTTAAGTCTCATACAATGTTGATAAGTTTTTGTTGTTGCTGCTTGTGCCAAATGCCCAAACTGATAGATCTCTTCCATCTTTTTGAAATTTATGCATCAGAATTTCTAGTTTGTACCTTGCCTGGAGTTACTCCAAAGTAACAATGTTTTTTTAAAAGAAGCCCTTTTTCTTTCTCTGACTTTCCCAGTTAATTATGGACTTTGTGAGGGAGCGTTGGAAGGAAGGGGTAGAGAGAAGGGTGAGGATGTAGAAACGAAATGTTCCTGGGCATTGAATATCAAATTTTCTAAAGTGTCTAGGCTTTTTGTGTTGTATATTATTTACTTTTTAAAGCCTTCCTTAATTTTTTACTTTGGTACTCTATTTCATCCTAATACTGAATACTATTTTTTTTTTACTTCTTATCTCGCCGGAGTTCTGATGAGATAATATCATTATCAATCATCATTATCAATATCATAATTATCATTTAATGTATTGCATAGGTCTAAGAACATTGTTCACTATAACTGCATCAACAATGAAAGAAAGGTGAATAGAAAATAATCTTATAATCCAAAAAGTTACAGGTGATCTTAGAACTCAGTACCTAATGCTTTACTAAATATTTAAATAAATGGAGAGAAAAACTAATGTGGTTTCAAGGACCCTTTTTCTTTTGAAGTACATACATTTATGTCCTTCCCCAGAACCTTCATCTGCAGCATATGGTTCTGCTTTGAAATACATGTACTGCATTTCTCCCCTACTCTTGCCACTCTCATCATATTCACTATCGGTTCCAGAGTCTTCTTCTGCTGTATCCCAGGTCTCTTTTTTCCCTTCATTTGCTTTAGTTCTTCTACTACTTGTGATACTGTGAGAGTCAAGTCCATTGGCCAAAGGGATCTGAGCATTGTCTGCATTGCACAAAGTATCACTGCTATGACTGGAGCTAAGAATATCACTGTCCACCGAACTTGTACTCCTGTCATTATTCACATCGGAGTCTGATCGTTCTTCAGACTGAAAATTTTCTGGATCAGAAGTTTGAATATGCTGTTCAAGTTCTCTATTATCCACTGATGCTGAAGAGTCCCTCTCATTGAGAGGTGATTCGATGTTTTCAAAGTCACTGGTCTCAGTACTTTTGCTGCTGTCCCCATTATCTCCATCCTGCTGTTGCTGCAGTGACAAGCTTTTGAGTTTTTCAGTGCTTTCTTCTAGAATAGCTTCCACAGACTTTAGGCTCCCTACAGGTCCTTTGACTCTTTCACAATCATCATCCACATTACCAGAATCACCTCCAGCTTTATGGTATGTTGTCCTTTTGTTATAAGATCCTGGAGATTGTTCAGGTAACAAAACAAATAATCTGATTGTATTTGCATGCCGATCCAGAAGTTTCCATAAATGAGAGTCTGCAAAGGCCATCTGGTAATCCAAAGTCTCAGAACTTTCAACAAACACCTAAATAGTAAGTCAAAAAATATTATATCATTAATTTTAGGGACATTCTCATTCATCATAATATCACATCAATACAAGACAGTACATAGTAAGTTATAAAATTTGTGATGATAAAGTTTCTGAAGGACATTGCATTGTTCTGGAGACTAAATGAAACAACTTTTAGGCTCAGATATCTTTGCAACTAGTCATAAAACTATGCTAAGATAGAGTAGATGGACAGATAGATATACAAACATACATCTTGTTTATCGGGCTGTCTACTTTTAGAAACTTTTGTATTATACATGTTTCTCTTTAGGAAATAGAAGTTCAGCATGAATGTAGATAGAGGAACATGTACAAAGATACTTTGGGAATGCAACACCAAAATCCAGATTATAGAAAAATTTAATGGGCAAATGCTTTGGTTTTATAACAAATAAATTACAAGGAAACAAACAACCAAAAAGGACACAGGAAACTTACAGAAAAAAATTTTGTAAGATAGTCAAAGAACTATGAACATTAGATACTAGGCTAATAATAAGGCATTTTTACTTTTAAAGCTATATAATGTATTATATTTTTAAAAGAATTCTCATCCTGAAGAGATATATTTTCATATTATTTACAGATGAAAAGATATGATGTTGGGGAAGTTTATCAAATAATCTGGAGGAAGTGGTGGTTAAATATAGATGAAGCAAGAGGTGATCATTGTAGAAGCTGGGTGATGGGGAAATAGGGGGTCATTATACTATTCTCTCTACTTTTGCATATATTTGAAATTTTCCATAATAAAGTTTTTTTTAAAAAATGAAATTCATATACATAAATTTAGCAATTATCAATAACATGTTGGGTTTTGCATTAAAAAAATAACTCTATCAGTTCTATTCAGTAAATGTTACAAATCAGGACTATTAGCTAACTGTTTAAGGAAGAAAAACGATTTAAGCAAAAAATCAAAGTTAGATCCCTCCTACACTCCTTAAAACAATATATGGCAGATTAGATATTTGAACGTTTTACACACACAACCCCACACAGAAAAGTAATAGAAAAAAATATAAGTGAATAAAAATTATACATCAGGATTAATAAAACAATACTAAGAAGGATTAAATGAGATAAAACACTAGACTGAACTAAGATGAATGAGATTGGACAAGGTGATAAATAAAAGATGGCAAACAAGGAAAACTTATCTAGAGTGAACCAATGACATCAGGAACAAACACATACAAAAAACGATACGTGATCGAACACAAAATATCAAGAGATAAAACAAGAGAACAACATGAATGTTCTCCTTTCTAACAAAGATAAATGAGTAGGCAAAGGGAATAATGCTGGGTGAACCCAAGAATGTAATTATCTCTACACTGGGCATGCCTCTGACTTACCATAAAGTACTGTTTTATGGGAGAAGCTTAAGAATGAACAAACTTCAGAGGACATAATCACTGTAGGTAGAAATAGTCATGAAGGCTTTCACCACAGCAGGAGGACTAAGCTGGAGCTTGAGAACAAAAATGTAGGGAGAGGAGGAAGAACACTCCAGGTGGGGGTGCACATGAACAAAGGCAGAAAGAGTAGAACCAGTGAGGACAGAAAGAAACCTGATCTGACCTGACTACAAAGGAAGGTAATAACTGTAAAGATGTGAGAATTTAAGCTCCAGGAAGACAGTGGATAGCTCTAGAGGCCAGGCTTATAATATTGAACTTAATTTCATTTACTATTACCAAACAGCATAGAAAATAGTAATGAAAAAATAAAAGACATACCTTGTTACTTCTAAAAAAACCTTCAGCTTTCAGGGTTTTACTGGGCACACTGAGAAGACGCAAATCATTATAGCAGCGTTCCAGCACTATTCTCATTGTTTCAGCAGGTAAATGGATGGCCTATAATAAAAGCAATTTAATAAAAAGTACTCTTTGAAAAATAATTCTGTTTGACTTAGCAATATGGGAAAACAAGACACTGATGAGTTCTTCTTAAAAGTAGCAGAGAGAAAAATAATTTTAGCAGAGGTTTTAAAATCTTTGAAAAATCTAAGGGAAAAACAGTTATATCCATTAATCATGCTGCAAATCAGGAGAAAAAGAACCACTTATTAATATATCCTCTGAAACTATTTTAAAGTTCAGGATTTTTCACTAGAAATTCTATTCCTCTCAAATTCGCCAAGTAAATGAGGTGATTTGATTCCAGAGAAACTAAATAACTGACTTTTTGAGAGTTGACATCAAATTGACACTTGCTTAATTCCATGGATTTTGATAGGCTCTTCTGTATTCTGTGAATAGGTGTTAGTACTTTCACTAAATCAATTTTCCTTTGTATAAAATGACATTAGTAGGTAAAATTTATTCTGAAATTCCACATTCTTAATTTTTGGAGTCATTTTATGAATTTCACATGAAAGGAGCAGATAAAAATAATTTACATTTTAAAAAACAATTTGTTTTCAATACCAACTAATGGTATCACAGTTATGAATACCTAATTGGTAGGCAGTCTAATTATACTGTAAAACACTGTATTTGTTAACATAATGTGATTGCCTTTATTCTCTATGGACATATTTTTCACCAAGATTATGACCTTCTTTACGCAAGGGGCTATTGTCTGTTTCCTTCATATTATACTTCAGTGTTCACACTCCAGATTAAACTTAATTTTTTTTACATTTGGCATTTGTACTTTTTAAATGTAATGCAGAGCAAATTACACTAACATAATATGCATTTATGAGCAATTTAATCACAAAATATGACTTCACAAAATGGTTTGTTTCCTGGCTATTATTACGAGGGCAAAGCATTAGAAGTCGTTTTTTTAAATATAATAACCACCAATTCTTATATGATATTTTAAAATTTTTTTTACGGAGCATTTATTTATTTTTTATTAACATTTCTACAAACCTGTTAAACAGCTATTAAAAACCACAGATGATAAAAAATGAGTATAAGATGAATGACTGAAAACTGGACTCAATTTCTTGACCCGCAATTACTGAACAATTTCCACTACACCAAGAGATCTCAACCTGAGGTTCAGGAACCCTGCAAAATTTTGCTTGTTTGTGTTTCAAGATTTTATACAGTACAGCAACGGTCCCCAACCTTTTTGGCACCAGGGACCACTTTCATGGAAGACAATTTTTCCACAGGAGAGGAGGGAGCAGGGAGGCGGAGCTTAAGTGGTGATGCGAGAGCAATGAAGAGCTGGAACCAGCTCTAGACACAGATGAAGCTATGAAGCTTCATTTGCTCACCTCCTGCTGTGCGGCCCACAGTTTCCTAAGTTTCATGGAAGACAATTTTTCCACAAAAGTTGGGAGGAGCAGGGGTGGGGCGGAGCTTTGCAGTCTGGTCCCTAACAGGCCACGGACCACTACTGGTCCACGGCCCAGGGTTAGGGACTGCAGGAGTCCAGGACCCTTGAATAGATAATAATCATTTGTATGGAGTGGACTAGAACTTTTGCCCAAGGAAATCTGAATGTTTTCATCATCATATTTTTCCAGCTGAAAAAATCTGAATGAGCCTATGTTCTTTATCACTTACTCACATAATGGGGCCAATATTTAATGCATCACCTTTCTTGTCAAGTCTACTGCTCCACTTTCCTCCTCTATTTCTATTTTATATCACAATCTTTCTGGTTACCCAGGTTTGAAACCCCTCAGGTCATCCGTGCTTCTGCCTTACCCCAACATTTACCAATTACAAGTCCTGCCGATTCCACTTACGTAATCACTCTCAAAATCTATGTCTTCTCTCATTCCCAGTCACACACCTTCACCTGAATTATTCCAACAGTCTCATCTCCATTCCTGACTCTCCCTCAATCCATCGGGAACACTAGTCTAGTGTCACTTTTGTGTTTACTGTTTAAATCCCTTAATAATCTGTACTTACATTTCCAAGCCTGTATTTTACAATGATCCAGCCAAAACACACAAGTCATTGTTTCATGCACTTGCCTCAAACTTTCTTACCTCCATACTTTGCTCTGTTTCTTCTATTTGAAGTGTCCTTTCCTATCCATAGTTGTCTTCTAACTATAAATATTAGCTCCTTGAGGTAGAGCTTATATCTTATTAAATATCACACAGTGCCTTGTACTTTATAGCAGGCATTCAAAATTATTCACTGACCAATTTTAAAACTTACCTTTGAAATCAGTTGTTTGAACTCTGTAACTGTCTGATTTAAGTAAGCACGAACAGTTATAGGAGCAGCTACAGATTCTGCCTTTAGATCAACAACATGAACTTTCACCATCACTTCTGTCACAATGGAAGACAAAAATACAAAATTGGAGGTTATTATTTTAATGTATTTCACATAAGCAACACATCCTTAACGTGTTTCCAACAGATGGCAGAGACAGTACTTTCTAATTACCGAGATAGCAGATGTATGTTATACGTGTGTAATATACGTTAAGAACATCTTTCACAATTTATCACAATACAAGCAGACATATATAAAGAAATGGAAATGAGGCTAATAAAAACTTCTCCTAGTTCTCTTTTAATAATGTTAATAGTAGTCTTCATTAGGAAGTATTATTTTTGACTTATATACCTACAAAAGTAAAAATGTGATTTTTAAAAATACATGTTTTGTTTCCTTGTAAAACGTGACAACACTGTCAAATTTATCGAGCATATTAAAAATACAAACCCAAAGTTCCAAATACAGACTAAAACCACAACACTACATAATTATAAAAAGCTAGACACTGCAAAACAAATACTAAAGAGGCATTGCACCTCCACTTGCTTTTCAACGACCATCATTAAATTATTTAAAATCTTATTCATAATCAAAGACCTCTTCTCATCAAAATAATATTCTCTATAGCCCATGGAAAATTCTGCACAAAAACTATTCTGGTTTATGTGTTTGCTTTTTCACTTAAATCCTTCATGTTACAATTTAATCCCATCTTCTCCTCTTCAGTTTTGAGGAAATCATGTTTATAAATAAACTTTTAGTCTCTTGAAAATAATTGATCTTTGAACTACATTTAATACATAGTTATTCTCTATTTGTTTTAACCTTTATATATATTATATGTCAATCCTCAGTTTTTCCCTATGTTGTTAATTTAAATCTAACAAAATATTCTGCTAAGGGCTTGATTATTAATGAATAAAGGAGATTACTTTATAAGTTTTACAAATCCACACTCACATTTAGAGTTCATTCAAAAAAGTGGTATTATTGCTGACTCATGTTATACTTTAATCATTCTATCCTTTCTCTATCTAGCTCAAAAATCTGCAAGGAAATATCCCAAAGGGACTCTGCAGATAGCGTAGAGTCTGACTGAAGTAGGCATCACCAAGTTTACAGAAATGAAATTTACCTACTTAAGAGAGAGCTCTTTGAAAGAATACTACACCTAATCTACTTTACAGAGATAGAGGCCTTCATAAAAAAAGAAGCTATACAGGATCCACAGAGGAATCGAATTTAAAAGGGCAGAAGGTTTTTTAAGTTTAACTTCTATGAAAAAACACAAAAAACTTTAGTCTGACATCTGATTAACTGATGCAAGGGAGTTAGGGTCAAGACACAACAGTAAGAATTTTGTAAAATTATTTAAACGTTTTGATTTTCTCCTATTTGTTACAGTTTACATATAGTGATTACCAGAAAACTTAAGACATGAGAAAGATCATGTAACTGTCTTTAGGGACAACTCTGGGAAAACCAGAGGATGGTGTTTTGCTTTCCAAAGCAGTTCCAACCAAAGAAAAAACCCCCCACTGTACTGAATGAAGGTGATAGATTTAATGAAGAAAGGAAAGCTGAAGTCTCTGAGATCTGTAGAAGTGGAGAAGATGAAAAAAAAATTTAAATGTTGATTGTGACGTGGTTATTATGAATCCACCCCTCCCCGAAGAGACTGTGAAAAACAGACTCTACTTCTGAGACTTTAAGGAACACACTTTTTTAGACCAAGGTCTTCTCTATAAAGAGAGAAAGAAAGATATCCTCCTAAGAGATGAACTATTAATAATAACTTTAGGGATTTATAGCATACAGAATAATTATTGGAGAAGAAAAATCTCACTGAGGACTGTGAGCTAGAAGTTTTGTTGTTTCTTTTTTAAATTCTGTGTATAGGTCTTTGCAAGTAATCTAGAATTTAATTCCAAGCTTGTTACTACTTCCCAACGTGTAAAAATTATTCTACATTTTAAGACCATATAAAGAATTTTTTTAAATTATGTCCATATCTATAAACAAAACATTTTCTCATGGAAATTTTAAGTCTACTACAACTCAAAATAGTGTAAAATTGCTTACCTCCAGGTTTATAAGATTGGAAAACTTGATCAGGCTTTCTTGTCTCTAAAAGCAGATCAAACATATATGTTGACTTCACTCCACCTAGTAGAAGTCCCATTGGTGTATCTTCTTCTCCTTCATATGATCGTTCTAGATAATCATGAAACTCGTCATATTTAACAAGGCGACAACAATCCAGGGGTATTACCTCTTCTAAATCCATCATCTAAAAGAAAACAATCCCCCAGCAAAAAGAAAAAAATATATAGATACTGTTTTAGTCTGGTGTGTAATGACACTACCAATAGGTCCTAACAAACAAAATCCACATACTTATGACTTGCATCAAAAATACCAAAGTTTATAGGCATTACTTGAACATTATTTTTAAATAACCATGTTTCATTATGCCTTAAATCATACAAACTGTGCTAATTTAAAGATATTTTTCATTTTTTTTTAAACTTTAGATGTAGACTCAACATCACTGTATCATAATCTATTGCTCTGTAATTACTACACTGGAAACATAAGGGAAACCAACCAACCAACTAGAATATGCATCTTTCGTTTTCTTTTTTTTTTTTGAGACAGGGTCTCACTCTTGCCCAGGCTAGAGTGAGTGCCGTGGCGTCATCCTAGCTCACAGCAACCTCAAACTCCTGGGCTCAAGCAATCCTCTGCCTCAGCCTCCTGAGTAGCTGGGACTACAGGCATGCGCCACCATGCCCAGCTAATTTTTTTTTTCATATGTATATTTTTTTAGTTGTCCAGATAGTTTCTTTCTATTTTTAGTAGAGACGCGGTCTCGCTCTTGCTCAGGCTGGTCTCAAACTCCTGACCTTGAGCGATCCATCCGCCTTGGCCTCCCAGAGTGCTAGGATTACAGGCGTGAGCCACCGCGCCCAGCCATCTTTCGTTTTCTTAATACAATTTGGAAGGGAACTGATAACTCATGTATTCAGTGACAGTCTTCCTAAGTATAGGAGGCCAGCATGTTTCTTAAGGCCACTGCAGCTTCTATGTTTCCCAAGTACCACCCCATTCCTATCTGGACATCCCTTTTAATATTAGCCTACAGAACAACTACATTTCATGGCACAAGAATTTCTACCATAAAATTTTCCTCTAGCTCATGTCACTAGTAGATGACATACACTGGATGCAATAACTCTTGATTAGGAAATAAGCCTCCTGCAGAAACATGGTAGGATTGCTTGGAAGTATTCAATGCCCATTTAATGTTTGCAATTATTTTTTAAAAAAGATTTGTAAGCCTTAGTGTGTCCCCATTGATCTCTACTCATCAGAAATCAAGCTCTAATTTTGGTATATAAGATTGACTTATTTCTCTCCGAGAATTGCCTGAGATACTTGCTTACAAATGCAAATTCCCAGGCTCCAAAACAGAAATTCTGATTCATTTGCAAGAATCAGTATTTTTAATAAGAATGTGACTCTGGTACAGGTTATGCTGGATCACACTTTGAGAAATAACGTCAGGTATCCTGTCTGCTATTTTTAGTTCCTCCTTGGTTCTATATATAATTATATATGAAATGATACAGTATGCAATTTTTTCTCAAAGTAACAATGGTTAAATTTCAGTCAAATTCTGTTAATGTTTACATGGAAAGGGGAAAAATTTAATTTGTCAAGTGTCACAAATGACATTTAGAATGACCTGATGCAAGAGTGCTTCCCTTTCTATTTGCCTTTCAAACATCACTAATAACTTACCATTATTCTCGGAACAAACTGCAAACCTCTATTCCTGCAAAGTCTCTAATTTCATTTTATGCTACTCTATGCCCATTCAAGACAATCTAAATACATTAATACTACTCCTTCTTTTATTAATAGTTTCTTGAATATACCAAGCACTTCCTCACCTAGAAGTTTTTGTACAAGCCTTTGCTCTACTTAGTATATTCTTCCCCAACTTTGTGCACAGTTGTCTCCTTCTCATGGATAAGGCCTCAGAATAAATTATCTCAATGTGCTACTGATTTACTTTATAGCAGTTAAATAATAAAATAATTGCAAATTGTGATGTTTAAATATTTTTTGTTTGTTTTTCCCAACAGACTGAAAACTCCATAAGGGCAGTGACCATGTTGTCCTCTCTGGTCTACCTCTAACACCTCATGTTGTCTTGTTCACTCTCGTATCTCTAATGCCTCATACAGTAGACCCTCAATAAATATCTGCTAAATGAATGAAAAGAACAAATAAATATTTTGTTTCTAATTCTAATTCTGGGATCTAGAAAGTTTAACTGACTTTCAGAGTGAGAAAGTTCTCAAAATCAACTGAGTATGCTCCAAAGAAAAGGTAGAAACTATACCCTCTAAGAGATATATGAATTAATAAGTTATAAAAGTTACTACAAGTGCTTATATTACTATTAACTATAATAAAAACTTGGAAAATCATATTACTACTGTTATATGAGTATCAATAAGTATATGCCAATAGTGCAATTAAACATACCTTATATGCCATTTCTACTGCTTCATTCAATGTCTTATCCTTATGAACCTCTAATTTATTTTCCATCATTACTTGTTTCACAGGATGCAAACAGAATAATTTTATCTAGAAAATGTAAAATATCATCAACTCAGCAAGAGTTAAAGCTGCATTCTTTCACAGACAGCATTTTTTTCCTAATTGTCAAAATACTGTAATTTTTTTAAGAACATAATTGAGACCATTCTTTCTCGTGTCTTTTTTTCTCACTTAATAACTGACAGTGATATGATGTCTCATGTCATAAAAAATTCAAAAACATTAATTTTAACAATTTTATGTTTTTTATAAGGATGTATCATTAATTTATATAATCATTTCCCTACCAATATACATTCAGGTTATTTCCAGTGTTTCCCTAGTTTGGATAATACTGGGATGAATATCCCATAGTCAATATTTTTACAGTATCTGTGATTATTTCATTAGGTAATATTTATATAAGAGAAATTATATAAGAATATAAATTTGCTTAAGGGTCTTGATAAATACCACTCAAATTCTATTCAGAAAGGTTTTACTGATTTATTCTTCTTGTAGTAGGGTATGCGAATGCCCACCTCACTGCAGCCTCACCAGCAATGAACATTATCACTACATATACGTTACTGAGCTTCTATGCATCAAATTAAACCAAATTTTACCTTTGTAGTACAGTCAGTTACACTGCTTAATGATCATAACAGCATAACTGTCTACAGAATCAACTCAATGTGTTAGTTAGAATTACAGTTAAACAAAATAAAATTATGAAATACAACCTTGCATGTATTGCGCTCAATTTCTCGTTGCCTCTTTTCTTGTTCTTCCAACTCTCTCTCTTTCTGCACCAAGTTTTTAATGTGTTCTGGGTATTCATCCACTTCTAGAAATTCTATTAATAATAAAAACAGGATAAGGCCATGTCACTGAAATTGAGCTCCCTTTATTCATTCTGTTCTACTATGCTCCTATAATATATACTTCTACAATAGCACTCGTGGAAATATATTTCAACTATATTCTTAACTTGGAACATGAGCTTCTTGAGACAAGAGTGAAGAGGTAGTTGATAATGGCACAGGGTTAGGTCTCATATTTTAAAAAGGTATATATTTATCCAAAATGGCTCTTGGCTTCAGAACAACTCCAGTATGTAGATTAAGATTTTAGAATGAAAAAGCCCCTCTGAAACTCGGAAGTAATTTCTGATTCCAGATTGTGCCATCACCATCAAACTGTGTGACTCTGGGCAAGTTTACTTCTCAAGAGCTAACCTTCTTAGCTTATTGATAGTGCCTACACCATAAAGTTATTACCTGGGATATAATAAAACTTAATAAATGCAGTTGCTGCTACTATTACTACAAATGCTATTTATTTGTCTATTATTATTCTCTAATAATATCTTTCCTTTGTTCTCAAAGCAATCTTTTAGCTGCCTTCTAACCAAAGAAGGTAGATTCACAAAATCAATAACTATATCTGTTATATTTCTGCTTCTATTATATATACAGTCAAGATTAATTTGAATAAAGAAAAAGTGATTATTTCTAAGGTTACTTTTAAAACAACTAGTTAAAGGAAAACAGTATCTACAAAAAATGGCTACCACAGACCTATGTATGAATAATTATTTTTGCAAAAGTTTTTAATAATCAGAACTTCATAGTATTCAAAGTATTAAGTGACAATATGAGATTATGATGCCATTTAATAAAGCCAATTATTATTTGGCATTAAATAGGGAGAATAATTTATATCAAAAACATCATGCCTCTGTGTAAGGTAAAAAGCCACTGTTAGAAATGAGCTATAATTTTTAAAATATTCTATATCATATCAGACAGCGCCCTCTGGTGTTTCAGCACAAAACTAGAGTTGGGGGAGTAGATAAAGGAAGGCTGAGTTACTGCACTACTAGAAAGCAGGGTTCACATAAGATATATAAATTACTATCCTGGCTCTGCTTCCAGATAACTATGACCTGGGATATTACACTTTGGGGTAGAGGTTTTTTTTCTGATACAGTAAGAATGATTACTTCTGCTCTTAAATCTCTATTCTGAAATAACTTATTATAATTTCTATTTATTTTTTCATTAATTCCACAGTAAATTTTTGAACTAGTATATGACAGATCCTAGAATATACCTTTGGTGAAAAGATGAATAAGTCCTAAGCCTTGTACCAACTCAATTCACAATCTAATGAAGGTTCACAAAAGTATGAGCGTAAACATTATTATGCTCAAAACAGATTTACCAATAGCATGGTATTGTTTAGTTTCCAAACAAGGGAAATATGCTGAAGTCAAAGACACTGATTATATTTTTTTTAATTATAAAAAGAATATGAGCAAACATATCACCTGTATATGTATCTGTATGTACACATACACTTTCACACACATACACCCCCACCTATTTTCAATACTGCCTCAGAGAGTCAGAGTTAGCAAGAAAAAACAAGAACTGCTATGTTTTAAAGGAATAATTACCAAAAAAAGAGGTAAACAAATATGTTTTATATACAAGATTATTTCTGAGATTCTTAATAAAATTAAAACATATAAAGGATGTGTACTAGATTCATAAAGCTTTAACTTGCTTTTCAATTAAATAAGCAGAGATATTTAACTCTAGTTCCCAAAAATGTTTCTAAAGTGGTACACTAGAAGTTCAGGACATCTAGGGTCTCCAATTCAAAGCATTTAGATACTAAAATACTCAAAAAACTTGAAACTGAAAAAAAGCAATAATAGCTAAATTTGAGTTTTTACTATATACCAGATATGATGCTAAATGCTTGAACTGTTATCTCATTAAAATTTTTATAAGAACCCTGCAAAATACTATTATTCCCACTTTACAGATGTGGAAAGAATGGCTTAAAAAGGTTAAGTAGCTTGCTCTACGACACGCAGCTGGTGAGTTATGACAAGGTTGGGTTTATCATCACTGCACCAAACTGCACATAATATAATCTTACTATAAATAAATATGCTTACAAATAAACATCCAATTTATTTAATGACCAGTAGGTTTTATTTACCTCTCGGTGTATTAAAAAATAACTCAACAAGCTTTTTTCAAGTGTTTTTCCAATTTGGTATTATTTCATAACAGTCTTTACAATTAATTCTCCCAGGCAACTTAATTATCCTATCATTTAAAAGTGGTTATCTGGGTTTGCAAAATTTACAAAAGAAATTAAGTTTACAATATACGTTAAAATCAAGTAACTGTAGGTTAACATACTTGCATTTCTTGCTGGATCCTTCAGTCTATATATCAGCATATATGCATTCGTGGAGCTAGCAGAAATATAAAAAAGATTAATAGCTACAAAAAGTAGGTTTAAAGATTCCATTTCCTAGCATCAAATATTTATTTTAAATTGTGATTTTTTTCTTTCAAATAATTAGAAATTCATGCCACTGCTCACAGACACATTCACATTTAAAACATTCCAGAAGAAAGGAAAATCTATTTTGTTTTTAATGACAAAGTTATGAGAAGATTCCATACCTCCTCCTGGTAACATTGTAAAGTCTGCAACAAAGCTGTGTACTAGAATGACTACAACAGTTAAGTCAGGAGTCAACAATTTTTTTCTGGAAAGGACTAGATACTATTATAAAAATCTTAGGCTCTGTAAGCCACATGGCCTGTGTTGTTGTTATAGTACAAAAGCATTAACGCAAAATCTATAAACAAGTGACTATGTTAGTGTTTAATAAAACTTCACTTCCAAATTTTGGAGGCAGGCTAGATTTGTCTCATAGGTTGTAGTTTGCCAATAACTGCGTTAAATCTTTGATGACAAAACACATTGAGAAGCTATAATGAATTCTAACTTATAAACACTAAAAATTAGGAAATTACTTACCTTGCAAAAGCACTGGAATAATATCCTCTACTTCCTGAAGATCCACCATGTGTTTTCTTAATGTCCTCTTGTGTTATCTAAAAAGTTGTTATTTTCCTTTTTTGTAAAATCCGTAACACTGCTGTAACCAAATCTTTTAACTTCAGAGTTAAATGCCATATAAGATCTTCAAAATGGCCCATATCAATTAACAAAATATAACTATAATCAGTGGCTGCTTACTAGCCAGCCAGTTCTAGAGCTCCTAATCACACACGAAGCACAAATAGCATGTGTGACAGTACAGGGCAAGAGGAAAATTGGTAGTCTATCTCTGGAGACATTCAGCAAGCCCCAAATAAATCAAAACAAAGAAATAGAGACAATAAACAAAATCAGGAAATTTACTAAAAGCAAAAATGAAAGACTGGTTTGATATGGGTCTTAAGGTGCATCACTAGACAAATCCTCTCATTTTTAATAAAGCCTACTGTTGATTAGAAACATCCCTACTGCTGTCTCTCAAAATAATCTTAAAAGATACCTCCTTACCCTGCTGACATGTTGATCATTGAAGCTGTACCACTGCTCATCACTGAATGACTTTATACATGCATAGTAATGACCACCAGCAGCACTTCCCGAATGAACCATAACAGAGAAGAGTTCATAAATCAGGGAATTCTAAGGGGAAAAAGTAAAAGTGACTCAGAGGAGAGGAAAAATACTGAATCCTTATTTCTTTATTTCCTATTTTTTTTCTAGTAACACATAGTGAAGTAACATGGTAGTTGTCCTCTGTATCAAAGGTCAACTTTCCCCTTAAAATAAAATTAAAATGGCAAGTCACCAAATAATTTTATATACCACAAGTTTCAGAAGTTCCATTCAGTATATTTTTTCACATTTTAATTATGCTATACTCTATGGAACTATACATACCTGTACATAAAAACTTATTTATGTAATAATTAAATAACAGTCCAAAATTTTAGAAGCAGGTGCTAAATACAAGGCTGTTCTAATATGTACAGTCAAGATAAAAAACTGACAAGTAACATTGTTTTTTATTCAAATAAGATTCTATTTCCTTTACAAATGAGCTGTGCAATATATTTGGAATGTCTATTAATATATTTATGTAATCTGTGATATAGTGATTTACTGATTTAATATCTCTCACTTATATTAAGAATGAATCCCAAATTATATTATCTATAATAAATTAAATTAAAATTGTTTAACAGTTTCCTGTTCTGCAAACAATTCTTCACTGCTTGGAAATAAAGATTATTTTAAGCAAACCTCAAGGAATTTGTGGAAGAAAATAGAAATAAAAAGGCAACTGATAAAAAGAGGTGATTTACAAACAACTTGTCTTTATATTTTGGACTATCTTTTCTTTCAGAAGCCCAGGCACTTCACAGCTCCTAAGACAGTTTGAGATACTGGGTAATTCCACCAAAAGAATGCACAGGAAGGAAGATGGAGATAAAGGATTCCCCAGTTGATAACAAGCAAGCTTTATTTATTCACTTTTCTACAACTAGGGTTTCTCTTCTTTATTCTTTGCTTGAAAAGCATTTTAGCCTTTGGTCACTTTATGTGACTTAATTTATTACTTAGTGAAATTTCTAGAACAAATTCTGAAAATGTCTGAAAACTTCTTTACATCCTTCACATTTTATTCCTATAACTAAAATTAATCACAGTGGTGATAGGGGGAAGGTTTCAGAATTTACCTGCAATCCAAAATTTGTGTTTAAGCATTAAACAACTTATGAAATGTGGTAATTCCATGCTATTAAAGTGCTTTGAATGTAGTAGGTAAATAGTTTATCATCACAGGTTTTTCATATATCAAATCTTTAAAGAGCACCTCGTGAAAGTGTAAAGAAACAACCAAAATATCCCTAAATGAATTTGAGACACTATAAAATCCTGATATGACTGGATGATATGAGCAATATCTTATGAATAGAACTTCTATTTAAAAAACAAACAGAAAAAGCCTACCAATCAACAGCTATACATTTTTAAGTTTCAGAATTATCAAATTCTGAATTATCTGAATTATCTAAATCAGAATCATCAAAGCCAAAACAATTAGGAAAATTCTAATGGTAGCAACTTCTGGATGATAATAATTGTGGTATATTCTCAAGACTGTATCACCTTCCAAATTAGAATTGCATATATCATATATTATTAGCAAAAGATAATATAGTCTACATGAAAGAGTAAGAGTTCTCAAATGTAATTTTAGTTTCAAATCACAGATTGGAAGAGGTAAGAAGGGGAGTAAAGCAACTTCATCCAAATCTAGAATTATAATTTTTAAATAAAATTACATAAAAACATATTCTAATATTTTCATCTCATTTAATATACTGCTTAACAACATAATACATTACTCTTAATAAAAAGGGTATAAATCTTCAAGCATGGTACTGGCAAACAAAATTATAAATTTCTAGATCTAAACAGAACATCAGAAAGCATCTGGTCCAAACGCCTCTAAAATGTATCAACTGAAAGGCACATAGATTAAATGATATGCCCAAAGTGACGCAACTTGTTAATGGCAAAGTCAGAACTAAAACCTAGATCATTTGACCCTCTAATGCAGGGGTCAAACAGTGAATATTTTAGGCTTTGTGGGCCATATGGTCTCTGTCACAACTACTGAACTCTGTAATTATAACACAAAACTGGCCATAGACAATATATAAACAATAGGAGTGGCTGTGCTTCAATAAAACTTTATTTACCAGAACAGGTAGCACTAAGCAACAGACTTGAAAGCTCAGAGAACGTCAAACAGGATAAACACAGAAGGGGAAATAAAAAAAAAAAAAGAACCTCTTGTATTAAGACAAAGAAAAAATCTTCAAGGGAGCTAGAGGGAAAAAACACCTTCTCTATAGAGGAACAAGGATAAGAATTACAGCACGTTTTTCATTATAAACGATAAGCAAGGACAAAGTATAGTGAAATATTTCAACTGTTGAAGGAAAAATTACTACCAACTTAGAATTCTATATTCAGTGAAATAATCCTTCAAAAGTGAAGGAGAGAAACTAGCAATCAACAGCAAAAGGAAAACTGGAAAATTCACGAATAAGTGTAAATTTAACAACATATTCTTAACAACCAATGAGTCAAAGAAGAAATCACAAGGGAAATTAGAAAATATCTTGAGACAAATGAAAACAAAAACACAACACACCAAAACTTATGGAATGCAGCAAAGGCAGTACTAAGAAGAAAGTTCATAGCTATAAATGCCTACATTAGAAAAAAATCTCAAATCAACAACCTAACTTTACACCCAAATTAGAAAACAACAAACTAAACTCAAAGTTAGCAGAAGGAAGGAAAGAATGGAGATTAGAGCAGAAATAAATTAAATAGAGAATAGAATAACAATAGAAAAAAAATCAACAAAACTAAGAGCCGACCTTTTGAAAGCTCAACAAAATCAACAATCCCTTAGCCAGACTGAGAAAAAAAGAGAAAAGACTCAAATAACACAAATCAGAAATGAAAGGAGATACTGCAATAAAAAGAATCATAAGAGACTACTACAAATAATTACATACCAACAACTTGGATAACCTAGAAGAAATGGGTAAATTTCTATAGACATAAGCTCACCAACACTGACTGATGAAGAAATAAAAAATCCAAACAGACACTATAACTAGTAAGGAGACTGCATCAGTAATCAAAAGCCTACCATCAAAGAAAAGCCCAAGACCAGATGTCTTTGCTAGAGAATTCTACCAAACATTTAAAGAAGAATTATTACAACACCAATCCTTCTCAAACTTCTCTGAAAAAGTGAAGAGGAGAAAACACTTCCAAACTCATTCTATTACTTTGATACTCAAATCAGACAAAGATACTACAAGAAAACTACAGACGAACATCCTTGATGAATATTGATGCAAAAATCCTTAACAAAGCACTAGCAAACCAAATTCAACAACACACTAAATGACCACATGGGTTTTATTCCTGGAATGCAAGGATGGTTCAACATATGAAAATCAATCAATGGAATACACTACATTAACAGAATGAAGGACAAAAAGCACATGATCATCTTGATTGATACAGAAAAAGCATATGACAAAATTCAACACCCTTTCATGACAAAAACAGTAAACTAGGAATAGAAAAAAATTACCTCAACATAATAAAATCCTTATCTGAAAAGCCAATAGCTAACATCATACTAAATGATGAAAAACTGAAAGTGTTTCCTATAACATCAGAAATCAGGCAATGATGCTCACTCTTACTACTTCTATTCAACGTAGTACTGGAAATCCTAGCCATAGCAGTCAGATAAGAAGAAGAAATAAAAGGTATCCAAATAGGAAAGAAAGAAGTAAAATTATTTCTGTTCACAGATGACAATCTTGTATGTAGAAAACTCCACAGATTCCACACAAAAAACTGCCAGAATAAAGGAATTCAGCAAAATGGCTCAGTACAAAAATCAACATGCAAAAATCTATTGCATTTCTAAGCATTAACAATGAACAGTCTGAAAAGAAAACTAAGAAAACAATCCTGTTTCTAATAGGATCAAAGAGAATAAAATGCTTACGAAAAAATTTAACCAATAGAGTCATACACTGAAAACCACAAAACACCACAGAAAGAAATTAAAGACAAATAAATGGAAAGACATTTTGTGTTCATCAATTGGAAGACCTAATATTGTTGAATGTCCACACTATACAAAGCAGATTCAATGTAATCCATGCCAAAATCCCAAAGGCAATTTTTTCAAAAATAGAAAAAACATCTTAAAATTCATATATAATCTCAAAGAACCTTAAATAGTCAAAATAATCTTGAGAAATAAAAACATAGTTGGAGGCCTCATACTTTCTGATTTCAAAAAATATTACCAGGCTATAGTAATCAAAACAGTATCATACTGACATAAAGATAGATATATGAACCAACAGAACAGAAAAGAGAACTCAGAAATAAACCTTCATGTGTATGGTCAAATGATCTTTGACAAAGGCTACACAATGGGTAAAAGGAAAAGGATAGTTTCTTTAATAATTGGTGCTGAGAAAAGCAGATATTCACAAGTAAAAGAATGAAGTTATACAAAAAATTAAGTCAAAATGGATTAAAGACCTAAACATAAGACCTGAAACTATAAAACTCCTTGAGGAAAACAAGGGAAAAGCTTCCTGACATTGGATTTATCAATGACCAAAATGACAGGCAACAAAAGCAAAAATGGACAAAAGAGACTACATTAAAGACTTCTGTGCAGCAAGGGAAACAATCAACAGGGTGAAAAAGCCCCCTACAGAATGGGAGAAAATATTTGCAAATCATCTATCTGATAAAGGGTTAATATCCAGAACATAAAAAGAACACCTACAAACTCAACAAGCCCAATTAAAAAATGGGTGAAAAACCTGAATAGATATTTTTCCAAAGAAGACGCAAGTGGCCAAGAAGCATATAAAAAGATGCTCAATATCACTAATTATTAGGGAAATGGAAATAAAAACAACAATGAGATATCACCTTACACTCATTACGATAGCCAATATCAAAAAACCAGCAAAGTGTTCACAAGGATGTAGAAAAATCTGAACCCTTGTGGACTGTTGGTGGAAATGTAAAATGGTACAGCCACTATG